TTGCTCCTAGTAGCGATGCCCTTTGCTCCTAGTAGCGTCCTTTGCTCTTAGTAGCAATGCCCTTTGCTCCTAGTAGCGTCCTTTGCTCCCAGTAGCGACGCTAACCATAAGGCCATAAGGATAAAGAGAATTTGATGAAGAAAGTTGTGGAAAGGTGGACGCACCGGTCACCTAACAAGCAGCGCAGCCGTTTCACCTGCGACGTAGTCGAATGGCTTAGGCCTTAAATGGCCGCGGGAAAACACATGAGATCACCTCACCAAGCCATCAGTGCAAAAAGCTAGCTTCTTCAGTTCATTCTCTTCTTTTTGTTGCACTGATGGTCCGCGGTGAAAAAAGGTGACCAAGGTGTGCGCCTCTTTCATGAGAGGCTTGCGAACATTGGGCAGTTCGCGGAGGTCTTCTGTTGCCTCCAACTTTCGCCAATGAAGGCCCAACACATTTTCAAATCTTCCAAAAGAAGTTCTGTACGGGTAGGTTTCCTTCTGAAACCTGGGCTCAGGTGAGCGGAAGCTTCGGGCTCCCTTGCAAACATGTGCGGACACTTCATCGCTCAAAAGGTGCCAGCCGGGTGTTTCGGCTAGCTTGGCTACCTTCGCAAACAAAGGGTCATCTGACCCAAAAGGAACTCCTAAGTCGCTCCTCAGGTGCACTTGTTCACTTGGCTTCAGCTTGGCAGCTTTTCCTTTCGAGCTTTGCTTGACGAAAGCAGGGGAGTAGGTGACACACCATTCATTGGCCTCCAAGACCCGGTGCAACTGACTGTAGTCCATGGGCTTGGTACCGCAGTCAATGATCATGTTCTCAGTGCTCGTCCAGCGGAGAGAGGTGTTGCACCTGCTAAGCATAGTTCTGATCCATGCTATTGTGAAGGCCAAGCTCTTCTGAGAGCCATAGCTTGGCGTGTCGCTGCAGCTTTTATCGTACGCATCCTTTGCGTCGGTTACTGTCATCATCGGCACCGCATCGGTGCTCAGATCAAAAGGCTTTCGGTCCAAGGGATGGCCAAAAGCTTCTGCCAGCACTCCCCGGCAGTATTGGCCGGTGTCCATGGCTTCTTCGATGCCCAGGAGCTCTGCTGCGAACGTGGAGCGGCAGACTCTTTGAAGTCGATGGGATCTGGCATCGAGGATCGTGAAGCGACCCTTCTTTCCAGCCATGAGGTTGGCATCTGCAATCATCACCAGGTAAGCCGCTTGGCTGTAGACCTTCTTCAAAGGTTCTCCTTCAGCACTGCCACTTTTCAGCACATTGCCGAGACTGGCATCTGAGACCACGAGGATGCCTGCACCTTTCAAGTCCATAGGCTTGAATTGGAGGGCAAAGTCTGCGTGCTGCTTCATTTGGCGAAGAAGCAGGTTGGCTCGTTGCAAGGTGCCAATCGTAGGAGCTTCTCCTTGAAGTGACGAGAGCTGGAATCCGCAATCGATGCGAAGTTGGGCTACCAACCATTGCAACGATCCCAAGATTGCTCGGAGCTGTTTGTGTTCTCCTGGATTGAGCTGCGAGGAGAGATCCTTTTTGCGCTCTTGTGAAATGCGCACTGGCTGAAGGTTCTGGTGGTATTCTTTCATCGTGACCTTGATGGACTTGTCGGGCAGCTGTTCGATATGTTTTCCGCAGTAGGTGAAGCTACCTTCAGAGATGGCTCCAAAGCCCAGTTCTTCTCCAAGAGAACTGAGGGTCTCTTTTGCCCGAGCGTTGCCGGCTAGCAGGAGGTCGTCAACGTGGGAGACCATCATTCCTTCAAGGCATGCTCCATCAGCACTCCAGAGGAACCATAGGGCATTGTCCAGTGTGGAGATGCGCCATCCTCTTTTGGTGACTGCCTTGTTCAGCCTTTTGTACCATCGACGAGGGCTGTCAGCAAGGCCGAAGACTCCTTTCCTCACCCGGCAAAGGCCATTTGGCGCAAAGGGCAAAAGAGGTTCATCCTTTGCTTTGGCTCGGATGTTGGCCAGGTAGAGGACTCTTTCATTGGGGCCAAACTCTTCACCTTTCATGAATGCGGACTTGATGTCGGCTGACCACAAAGACCATTTCATTGACGCCGCAAAGGTCAGCAGCAAATGCTGAGAGGTCCGACTGGCAGTCGGAGCATCACACCTGATGCCATAGGCCTCAACATCTGCATAGCCAGGTACGACCAGGCGAGCATTTGCCAGCAGCGGAAGCTGATTCTGCTGTGTCCTCAGGCCATCGTTCTTGTCCACATAGACAAATCTTGGGACGAGGATGCGATGGCTTTGACCTTCAGCTTTCAACCGCGTTCTGATTCTTGCGGCCTCTTCGTCCGGCAAAATCTCGACTGCATCATTGTCGGTCCAGACTGACCATCCTTTCGCTGCGGCTTTTCTGAACTCACCCTTCTCATCTTCAGTCATGGAGGTCCAAGGTCGCTCTTTGCGAGCGGTGAGGACTGCGAGGACTTCTCTGGAGGCGTCTTCATTGCCGAGCGGCCAGAGTTGTCGTAGTTCTTGGCGACGTTTGAACTCAGTCCTCGAGGGCATAGGCCAGTTTCCTCTCCATGTTCCGTGGTCTGGAACTTTGGCTTCCATCGGATTGTGATGGTCCAGGATTGCTTGAGCCTGGATTTGACGAAGAGGGTGCACTTCAGCATAGGCCATTGCTTCCATGACTTCATGAGACATAACCAAAGCATCATGGGCCATAGACGAGGGCCTTGGCTCGGTAGGCGTTGGAGTTGAAGCAGGAGGTTCTTCATGAGCAATTCTTTTAGCAGCTCCTTCAACATCAGCTGGAGCTGCATCTGCTGGCCTCTTCACACTGCCAGTGGCGGTGTCCAGTGAGGTCTGTCTTGGCATCCGTTGTGCCCAGGCTTGACGAACTGCTTCAGGGAAGGGTGATTGAGCCACAGTTGACTCAGGCAGCGATGACGTCATTCTTGACCAAGCAGGCTGACTTGATTCAGGCCTTGGCTCCAAGGCTCGCACCATCTCTTGAGGGTGTACTGGAGGAAGATCGAGAGGATTGTCTTCTGGTTCGGCTTCACGTTCTCGATCTTCAGGAGGCTCCGTGGGTTCGTATTCCTCAAGTGCAGAAGCAGGTGCAGCTTTTGGAGGTTCTATCTTGGGTTGAGGCTTCACCATCTCTTGGTCATGGCAGGCAGCGTCCACCACTTCTTGAATTGCATCCTCCCAAACTGAGCTTGCCACTTGTTCGAGTGTGCTGGCCGGCCGAAGGTGTTCGAGAGCACATTTGGACAATTGGCCACGATAGCTGACATAGCCGTTGTTGGGCTCGAGGGCAACGAGTAAGGCCGGTCCGTGCCATCTGCTCAGCTTCTTCTTGGAGGCTGCTGTCTTGTTGTTGTACTTGGACTGTCTGTAAAAATAGACTATGCTGCCTGGTTCCAAACCTTGCATGGAAGTCACCGTAGATGATCTTGATCTCGCCACTTCAGCTTTTCTCAGCCCTCTGGAAAAATGAAGGCGCAGCATTGCCAAGCGCGCTGTTTCGCGCATTGCCACTTGTCTGGCAAGACTCGGAGAGGATGAGATGAGGGAGTGTTCGGCGAGTCGACGACCGAAATCTCCAAGGCAGTCGCCGTGCATCCGTGGTTGGCGGCCAAATGCCGCTTGACATGGAGAGACGCCTGCATCGGTGACATCTGCATTGTAGCTCATCACGGCTTCTTGAAGAGCCGTTTCCATTTCCTCTTTTCCCAAGACACTGTGGGCCTTGATGATTGATCTCGCAAGGGCTTTGAGCACCGCCCCACCTCTCTCACAAATCCCATTCTGCCAAGGAGCTTGAATGGCGGTGTGGTGCAAGTAGATGGAGCGTTTGCTGCAGAAACTCTCAAATGCATGGGACACGAACTCCTTGCCCTGGTCTGCGACAATGACACGAGGGGGTCCCAGGATTGGCAGCCACTTTTGCGCCATGAATCGCTCCACATTTTCACTGCTCTTGTGCTCGAGGGCCTCAGCCATTTGAAACCGTGAAGTGGCGTCAATGGCATGGATGACGTAGAAGCGCCTTTCCTCGATGTCAAAGAGCTCAAAGATGTCCAAATGGACTTGATCGCCTGTGTCTTTTGGCGATGGCAGCGATGCTGGGCGCCGAGCTTTTGGAGCTTTTTGTTCATTGCATACAGCACAGTGAAAATGCCGTGCCGCATGAACCATTTGTGGAGGTGCTCCGGCAACTTGTAATGCTCGGGCTAGTCGTTTTGGAGAGCGGTGGCCGGTATTCTCATGAAGTCTCCTCAAGGCTTGTTTGACACCTTGGGAGATTTTGTGAGGCTCTTCAAACTGAACTTCTCCTCCAGGTTCTGAACCGCTGTCATCAGAGTCAGGCTGCAGATCCATAGGGGCTTCTTCTTCATTTTCGAGGTTTTCACCTTCTATGGCCAACGTGGAGTGCGGCTTCTTGAAGTCATACTCGAACTGTCGTTCCATTCCTCTCACGAGCGCTAGGGCCAGCGCCCAAGGGTATTGTCCCGCTCGTCGACTGATGGAGGTTCCACCAATCACATGGGCGTGGTCGTGATCGCCCAGACACTTCACGCCGTCGAGCTCCGCAATGACATAGTCGCTTGAGGTGGCTATGCGAGTAGCCTTTCGATGAGGCTGGCCATGAACATCGGTGAGCTTGAATCTGCATTGGTGGAAGTCCACCGTTCGCGCCTGAAGATCTTCTAAGGCTCTGACCATTTCCTTGAGGGTCCATGCTCGAGAACTTTGAGGGTTCTCAAGGACAAAGTGGTGGCCACGGCCTCGTTGATCTTTTGCAAGTTGGACAGCGAACCTCAACAAAGTGGTGGCTTCTTTGAGGCGCTTTTCATAGTCCTTTGGTGGGTTCAGGTTCAGCAAAATGCTCCAGAACGTGCAAGGGAAGGCCAGGATCAGGAAGTAGGGCATTTCCTCGGCGATGAGCTTTCTTGCAGCTCGACGATCAAGCAGCCGTGTGAAATCCCATCCGGACTCCAAGGATAGCGAAGATCCGACTTTGTGGCCTCGCTTTCTCGCTGACTTGGCCACCCGTTCCGTAGTGGTGTACACCTCGGAGACAAGGGCCTTGGGCATCACAGACTGGGCCTGGTCATTCACAGTCTTGACGTCATTCGACTGCACTTCATTGGCCTCAGACAGCTTGTTGGAAAAATCGAGAACGAGGGAGGTCGCAAACACTTCCTGCTGGTACTTTTCAAGGTCGTGGTTCCATTCCTCTTGAAAGATCTCATTCACTTCCTTGTAGCCCAGCGAGACCAGCTTGCGATCGCGCTCATGTCGTTTCCAAGCTTGGGCTATCAACTGAGCTTGTCCAGGTTTGACGTCCTGGTGGATCCTCCAAGGGTTGGATGCAAGTTCTGGCTTCACTGATCCCGTGGAGGGATCCCATTTGCCAGACGCCATTCCGCGTCTTGCTGGTAGTAGTCCCGGTTCATCTCTTGGATCTCTGCCTGGGACCAGCCGTGTTGTTCTTCGGGTGCGCTCTGGATCATGGCTGTATCCAGGATCTGACCGCTCAGCGGTAGGCCAACTGCTCCAGGAGTCATCATGTGCTGGAAGAAAACGTTGTTCTTGCTGAGCCAGGAGCTGCTGTACCTCGGCCGCTGTCAGACTGGGCTCGGAAGGCTTGGTAGGCATTGGAGTGCCTTGTGACTGGTAGGCGCCCGTAGGGCTTGGAGCCTTGGCTGAGGTGCGCTGATCCGTTGAACTCAGGGACGTTGAAGGCTTGGGCTTTGATGGACTCTTGACCGTCAACTCGTTGACCATTGGGCGACATAGATTCTTCAACTCGTCGTTGGTCATCTTGGCTTCGACCGGAATGTTGAACAGTGCGGCCAGTTTCACCAGGTCGGCCTTGAGAGAGGGAAGACCGCCACGAGGCCCGATGAGGGAGCGCACTGCTTCCAACTGCTCGCCCTTTTTGGTCACCTCTGCCGCCTCTGCTTGGGCCTCCTTGATGGCCTCTCTTTTCAACTGTTGGTTCATGCCCTTGACACTCCTGGCGGCCATCATGCCCTGCAACAGGTGGTCCTCCATGAAGGCGAACTCGAGGCCAAGGCGATTCCTGAACTGCGACAGCTCGTGGAGGTTCTGTGTCGTGAAGGCCTTGAAATGGATCGCCCGTTGATGATGCTGTTGAGGCAAGGCTCTTGGCTTTTGCCTCCACATGGAGACCGACTGCTGTTCCCATTGTTGCGTGTGGGAGATGCTGGGGTATGGCAAAGGAGCGTAGCGCAGATACGGCCGTGGAAATAGCCACAAGAGCTGCCCATGGGCGTGCCATTGAGCTTTTGCGCGAAGCCTTAGGATGAGGCGGCGCCATCGGAGCACTTGACTGCCGTACTCGCCGACTGTCAGGTCGTGGATCTCGGGAGCCTGCATAGGAGGCTTGGTGTCCGGCTGAGGGCTCAGACACTGAACTTGTAGGCGAAGTTGTCGAAGGAGCGATGCGAGCTTGAGCCACCTGCATAGCTTGAGCCCCAGCGGTCATGGCGGCCTTGATGCCATGCTCCGTCATCAAATGCTCATGTGGTGCAACTGCAGCATGAAAACCATCAAAATGACTCAACCGAAAACGAAGCTGCTTGGACCACCAATCCATGCTATTTAGCTGAAGCTCAATGACACCATCCTGACCCATCTTCCTCCAGCGTTGAGGGCCCGGACATGGCCATGTTGCTGGCTGCAGGCTGAGGCAGAAATGACCTGCTGTGAGCTGACCGAGGTCGATCATCTCGCCGTTCACGAGGTCGGCTCGAAGCTTCCTTCTTCCAAAACTCAAAACTGCACCGATCCCGCTGAGGAAATCGCGGCCCAAAAGCAAACCAAGGGAGGCTACAGGAACAATGCTCACCCACACCAATACCATAGAAGACCCAACCATCATGGGGAGTCGATACCGAATGGTGCTGCGCTGTGTGCCCCCATTGCCAAAGCGAAACAGCTCGTCTTCTTCCACCGTCTGGATGAGCTGCCGAACCGCTTTGGATGCCTTCTCTAAGGCTTGCAAATAAAAGGACAGCCAAACATTGCCAGCACAGGTTCGGTTGCATGCTGAGTCAAGGGCTCCGACGAAGCGCTTGTCGGTTGCCAAGGTGGGAGTGTGCTCTGACTTCAAAGCCTCTTGCAGGCTGTGTGCAAACAACGAGTCATGGGTGGCCATCATGACCTCATTGGCGTTTCCGCCTTCATGTGCATCATCTTCCGGAGGGAGATGCTCCGTGTTCAAGGTCTCAGCCACCCTCACCTGCTTGATGGAGGGTGGATTTCCTTTGGCTTTGCCTTTTGGCTTGCCAGGACCCATGCCGGGTTTGGTGCATCCGGCATCGCCGGCCCAATGGCCTGGTTCACCACAGTCGAAGCATCTGGTGTTGGCCTTTTGCTTCGGGACTTGGTTTCCATGAGGCTTTGACTTCATCGTCATTGAACCAGCTTTGCCATAGCCTCGGTCTTTCTTGACCTCTTGAATCTTTGTTCTTGCCTCTCTCATCGTCACGAGGCTTTCTGCTGCTTGCTCCATGCCCGCTTCAAGCTCATCGAGCATTTGAGGATCGCAGCCTTGGTCTTCAAGATCTTGGAGCTCTGAAGCAAGTTGTTCCGCTTCAGCTTGCAACACTTCCTCAATGGAGGTTGGTCCTCGGCCATCATCATCGGGAACCAATTCTTCTTCTTCATCAACTTCAGCCACCAAGGCCTCTTCTTCATTTGGCATCTCTGCCACATATGCTTGGCGTTGAGGAGGTTGGCCTTGGTTGTTTCCAAACTTCCTGAAAGGTGGCTTGTTACCACCATAGGAGCTTTGAGTTCTGAAGGACCTCACTGAGGATGGTGTCATAGAGCTCGCTGAGGTGCTTGAGGATCGATATGAAGAAGCAGGACCGGTTTGAGACTGCAAGAAACGCTGGAGCAAGGGAGCTTTCTCCGGTTGTCGAGACTTGTGGAGCGGATCAGCTGTGTGCAGATCTCTGAAGAGCCTCAAACATTCCGTCTCCACGAGGTCGTAGGCTTCCTTGCCAGCTAGTGCGGTCTCCAGGAGCTGCTTTCTGATGGGATCTAATCCCAGGCGCTCTTTGAGCATCCATCCAAGCTCTTCTTCGTGAAGATGAATGCCTTCTCTCTTGAGCTCGGCGGCCAAGGTCCTGTATCTCGTACAGAATGCCGAGATTCTTTCTCCAGGATGCCTTTTGATCTCCTGGTAGTATTGCGCTCTGAGCTCTCCTTTGCGGTCGAGGGCTGACTTTCCAACTGTAGCTTCGAGGGCGCTCATCAACTTCTCAAGTCCTGCAAAGGGGTTGGCTTCCACCCTGATGATCTTCTCCCCGGTGTCGGGGTCCTCCATGCTGTCTTCCTTGACCCCCTCTAAGTCTGAGGGGTCCGAACTCTTCGCACCGGGCACGGACCACGCCGTGCTGCCGCAGCGCCCACTTGGCTGCTATGTTGAACTTCTTGCATTGCTCCGGGTCAAGCGAAGCCATCCACCAGCTCATCTCACGGCGGAAGCTCCGCCATTCCGAGGGGTTGCCATTCCATGTCGGGACTCTGTACCACGACGAGGTCCCGCTGTCCTCACCGTCAGGCATGGTGGGCCAAAATGGCCAAAACAACAAAGGCAACTGGCTCCTCCAGCGTGAGGAGCTCCAAAAACAGTCCAAAGGCGTCCCAAGGCAATGGACGCTCCAGAAAACAAAGGTTGAAGTTCGGCTCAAAGGTCAAGAGCTCGTGCAAAAAGGGGCCAAAAGCCAAAAGTGGAGGCGCGGCGACCTCAGGTGCAAGGCGGTCCTCAAAAGGACCTCCAAGGTCGGCCCCGCAGGGGCCAAGGACGTGGAAGAGGTAGAGTCCGCAGAGGCCAACTACCGAAAAGACAGGGACGATCCGAACGGAGAGGATGTAGCCAAAAGAAAAGGAAGATGCCGAAGCGCAGCTAGCGGAGTGCGGCGGCCTGGAAGGCACTCAGGCTCCGGTGCCACTGTGGAAAGGTGGACGCACCGGTCACCTAACAAGCAGCGCAGCCGTTTCACCTGCGACGTAGTCGAATGGCTTAGGCCTTAAATGGCCGCGGGAAAACACATGAGATCACCTCACCAAGCCATCAGTGCAAAAAGCTAGCTTCTTCAAAAGTATTGGCCTGTTGATTCATCGCGAATGTCTCTTTCCGAGGGGCCGACGGGCCAAAACATGAGCTAAAAGACTGTCATTCATTGTCTTCTTGAGTTACTAATATTCTTTTGAGTGACGAATAGCGATGGCCTCCACCCTACTAGCGATGGTCTTCCTTGTGTCTTCATGAATGCATTTCTTTGTCCCAAGACGGTCCCAAATCTGGCCTTCCTGGAGGGACAAGGCTTGTCTCCGCCAGGCCAAATGCGGACCAATGAGGCTAACCTGGGCACAACGATCTCATACGACTCACATCCAAAAAGGGATCATTGGGTTTTTGTCTCCTCTATCTCGGGCAGAGCTTTTCTCCTGAGGTCCTTCTGCGCAGGGAGCTCTTGAATTCATATTCTCACTTCGTCTTACACAAAAGAGCATGTCATGCAGCTACTAAGCTACTATTGAGCCGCCTTCGGGCTACCTTTGAGCCCTTCTACTTCTCGGGCATGTTTCGTCGTATGGGTTTGTGCAAAGGCGTAGGGTGGCCTGTGGGCCACGATCTTCTCTCCGCCCCAACGTTTTGAGGCTCGGCCGGCACCAACTCCAACACATTCATCTGCGCACCTCCACCACCGGTGATGTCCCCTCCGAAGAAAGTGCCATCGGCCACGGTAATCGAATATGCATCCCAGGCCGGCGTATTGATCGTTCCCCACGCACTCACTGGATCCCCGAGGGAGGTCACTGACTCGGGATACTTGTACCAACCTGGCTGACCTGTGAAGTCACTATCAGCGTACTGCCAATAAGTCACTGCATTCACCCCTTCATCCACCGCTTTGGCCAAGTAGTTCGCGAAGCTCTGAGCACTGCCTTCCCAAAACTCGCTGAAGAAAATGGGAGGCCGGCCTAACTTGATGGCGTTCTTCTTCGCAAGGTCAATGACTTCTATGAAGCTGGAAGTAGAAGGTGGAATGTAGTAGTGGAAAGACAAGAGGAGGCGATTCTGTTGCGCATATGCCTGGAAGCGCTGCATGGCCTTGGTTGAAGTGCCTGCACAAGCTAGCAGGGAGACAAAGCAAGACTCCCCTTCAACTGTGCTACTCCAATTGGCAATGGCAATGGGGCATTTGATGGAAGGATCTTTGTCCAGTTCCTCCATGACATCTGCCTGGAAGGACAGAATCTGCCTCCAAATCGTCCCCGTAATGCACAGATTGGGCAGGCCGCCGATGATCGGCTCATTCATCAGTTCCACTGCCACCACGTTCTCGTACTTGTCCCATAAACTACAAAGGAATTTGGCGAAGGCCACAAAGGGCTCAAAAAAACACGGCCCTGTCTGCGGCATTGTTTGCAGAGTTGTAGAGCCGAGGTACTAAATTTTGGACTTGTGCTGAGGTGATCAGTGAACCCCATTTGTTGTCCGTATTGTTCATTCGGATGCTTGCATTTCCAACATTCATCAAGGCAGGGTTGCCTTCCCCTCCAACAGCATAGGGTTTCCAAGGATCTGGATCTCCACTGTAAGTGTGAATCCCCAGGCAACAGCACAGGTCTGCCAGCCAATTGCAACCCAAGAAGCACTTCAAAGGATGGTTTGGGTTCACCAGGTAAGATGTGCGACATGTCTCTGGGCAGGAAGACCATGTGCCCGCAAAGCAACAGCAACAGCAGCACTGCTCACAGCAGCCTCACAACTTGGCATGGGTCTACTAAGCCAACCACCCGGCTAAGCGCAAAAGGAACTCATGTACAATGGCCTAATAGCAGTGGCCTCCAACCTAAAGCGACGGCCTCCAACCTAAGAGCGATAATTGGATCACATCAAAATAGAGTCAAACATGACTACTCTTTCTGATCCAAGCAACAGCCTGCTCGGTTTTGAAAATCTTCCATGACCCAGTATGGGTAGCCTTCACCTCCATTAGTGGTGGCTGCGGCATCTTGGTGCATATCCAGAAAAACATAGACGCCCTCATCTTTGAAGGCTCGGATGACAGCCTCGAGCTTGGATGCATAGCTGGGATCGATGTCAGTGCCTCTCTTTGGTATTGCAGCTTCCATCAAGACTCCCAAACGCACGCATGGTACCACTGGTCTTGGAGTACCGTCCGCTGTGGGTGGGGGAGTATAGGCCATCGCCTTGGCTCCTTGTGCCATGGCCTTGGCATTCTTCTGAACAATGTCCAAGGGTGGGAAGTATGGCGCTGCCTTCACCACATAGCTTGGAGGTCATCGCTATTAAGTTCGAGGTCTTCGCTATTAGGTTGGAGGCCATCGTTATTAGGTTGGAGGCCATCGTTATTAGGTTGGAGGCCATCGTTAT